CCGCTTCCCTGGGGCTGCACAGATGAAAGCCCCTGACCTGGTCTTTTCACGCCTACATCCTCTAACCCTTCCCCCAAGACCCCATGCAATTAGGGTAAAATTGCATACAGGTAGTTGGCAGGGGAAACTGAATACTCAACTGAGGGTTCTAGGCCCTTCCCAACCTCTCCTATGAGGCACAGCTGTGGTGCTCTTTTGTGAGCAGAATCTGTAGAACTCCTGACAAAGGCAGTAGTTTGGCTCAGGTAATAGTCCTGTACAACACTATCTCATACTGGAGAAGTTGAGAATCCTGTAATTTATGAAACTGGATAACTCAGTAGTCCAATCTGGTACTAAAGGCCTTGAGGATTCCTAGAGAGTGTGAGTCTTCAGTCCACACTGGAATCTCAAAGCAGCTAGATTTTGATATGAAGAGAAGGATGGCAGTAGCAGCTTCAACAGCCAACAGATATGTGAACTTGCCAGTGTGTTACCGACACAGGCAAAAAATAAAGCTTCCTTCTTCCCACCACCTGAAGGTGCTATCCATTTAGTCTTCTCACTTCAAACAACCTGACGAAGAAGATGCCTCACAGGACTGCACAGCAGCTTGCTTTTTAGTTGATTGCAAATCCAATAAATTGATAACCAGGTTTACCCAACACACAGGTGTTCTACTTTTGTTATTTACTTTTTTGACTCCAAACCCATGTAAAAGCCAAATGCATTCTCTGGCTAGGTATACTCGTTAGAATGACATAAGTTTTTAACTTTCCATGTCAATCTCTGATGCCATAATACCCAGGAAAAAACGGCTGGGCAACCTCCAAAACCAACTACTTCCTTAAGATGGCCTAACTTGGTGGGGCAGATAAAGCGGAGTCCAACAGACATGCGTGTTTCTTCAATGGAAGGCTGTGGTGCCGATAGCTAAGAACAGCATAATGCCCAAAGCCATCCCAGGGAATCTGGAAAACGACTCAGCTCTTGAGAAACTGTTGCCTCATTGCTGGGGGAACTGGGGCTTTGTCTTCATCAAGAAACAAATTAAAAAGTGACTCAGGAACAAGTGATCAACTCAAGAAATAAAGCAAAGAAATAAGCCCAGGATCTAATTAATGGGTTCGACAATGAATTCTACCAAACAGGAGAGTTAATACTCATCCCATACTTTCCAGTTTTGAAAGCTGTCCTACAGGTCAGAATTCCCAACGTCAAAGCCACCAAAAATAGTGTAAGAACTGGATACCATACGGCAACGTCCCTTATGAACACACATACTTAGTAAAAGCTGAGTGTAGGGGCTGAAGAGATGGCTCAATGGTTAACAGCACTGGCTGCTCATCCAGAGGTCCTGAGTTCAATTCCCAGCAACTATATGGTGGCTCACAACCATCCATAACGAGATCTGGTGCATCATAATTACACTGTATACATCATACATTAAAAAACAAGCAAAAAAAAAAAAAGGGGGGGGCTGAGTGTAGCGGCTCACACCTTTAAGCCCAGAAATTAAGAGGGAGACACAGGTTTATCTCTGTGAGTTCTAGGCTATAATCTTAGCACTGTTCCCAGCAGAGAAAGGAAGAATGCTAGCCAGCTACTCTTGTCTAATCAGTGAACACCAGGTTTAGGGAAAGATATTGTGTCAAAAAATAAGGTGGAGAATGATACCAGACATCTAGCCTCCATGCACATATCCACACACATACACCACACTGTGTGCGCGTGCACGCACACACAAACACACACACACACACACACACACACACACACACACACACAAACACCCTTAACAAGATACCAGCAAAATGAATCCAGCAGTCTACTAGAAAGATTACACAGCATGACTAAGTGGAACTTGCCCAAATAATGCAAAAATGGTTCAACAATGGATATCAGTGTAATACATAATCTAACATAGTGAAGGAAAAAAAAACAGTTGTTCAAATTGATACCAAAAAAAAAAAATCATTTGACAAACTCCATTCCATGAACCCCTTTGGTTATTAAATATAGAATACTCATAAACCATCAATACAAGAGAACTTCCTTAATTTGATAAAGGATACTAGTGAACCCCATAGCCAGTATCATACCCAACAGTGGAAGATTACAAGCTTCCCCCATAGTCAGGGTAAAGATAGTGATGTCCACTTTTACTATTTTAGCACTTTATTAGAAATTTTAACCAGCACAATTAAACATGAAAAAGAAAAGGTCCAAATCAGGAGCTAGGCACATGCCTATAAGAACAATACCCAGGATACTTAACAGAAAGGTCATGAGCTTAAGGCCACCCTAGGCAACATAATGAGTTCCAGGCCACTAGCCTGGGCTACAAGGCACAAATGCACACACACATGCATGCACTCATACATACACACACTGAATGAAAAGGAAGACTACCTCTATCTCTGTTAATATACAGCACTATCTTTAAAAAGAAAAAAAAAACACTATTAATGTTAATAAATAAGTTAAGCAAAGCTGTAAGAGCTACAGTATCAACAGTAAGAAAAATAAGTGGTAAATTGATAGGAAATTAAGGAAACAATTTATTTGGCTGAGAATGTACACCAATGGCTAAGTGTTTGCATGTACATGTAACACAGATGGACAGAAAAACATAACAAAAAAGTTGTAATAGTAAAAAAGATGGTACTGGCATAAGGACAGCCACAGAGACCGATGGAGTAAACAGAGTCCAAAAGTGAACTTGTGCATCTGTGGTTAACTGATTCTTGACAAGAATGTCAGGACAATTCTCTGGAGAGAAAAGTCTCTTAAGAAAGCTGTTGATGCCAGGCACTTGGGGTGCTCTTGGGGGGCAAAGACAGGCAGATCTGAGTTTAAGACCAGTCTAGTTTATAGAGTGAGTTCCAGAAACCCTGTCTTGAAAAACCACACACACACACACACACACACACACACACACACACACACACACACACACACGGAAGGAGGAAGGATAAGGAAGGAAGAAAGGAAGGGGAGGGAGGGAGGGAGAGAGAGAGAGAACAAGAAGCAAGCTAACTGTAGGTAACTGGAGAGACGGCTCAGTGGTGAGCACTGACTGCTATTCTCTTCCAAAGGTCCAAAGTTCAATTCCCAGAAATCAGGTGGCTGCTCACACTGTCTATAATTCCTGTCTCCAGGAATCTGACACCCTCTTCTGGCCTCTCCAGGCACCAGGCACATTCATGTGATGCACAGACACACACAGAATACCCATAAACATTAAAGGAAGGAGAAAGAAATGATGAATGCTACTGAAATGCTATTAACATCTACAGAGTTTCAAAACAGATGTTTAGTCTCCTATCTTCTGCCATTTATAGAAATTAACTCCAAATGGATTAAAGACTAAATGTAAGAGCTAAAAGAATAAAAATCTCTAAAATAAAAAAGGAGTAATTTCTTTACTCCCTTGATCTAGCAATAGTTGTTTTAGATACTGACACCAAAAGACATGCCGTGAAGAAAAGACCAACCTGGATTTCATCAGCTGTAAACTTTTGTGCACCACAGGTAACTACTGCAAAAGAATAAAAGATCACCACCACCACCCCGCAAAAAAATGGGGCAAAAACGTATGTACCCTGCTTCTGGAGTTCAGCAATGAAAAGACAAACTACTCAAGTAAACAGTGGGCAAAAAGTTGAACAGATACTTCTCCAAAGTACACATAGCCAGAAAGTACATGGGATGCTCATCATCATTAACCACTGAAAATGCAAATCAACTGATGAGTTACTTCACACTCGTTGGAATGGCTATAATAGCAATTACAAAAGAAAATAACAAGTGACAGTCAGGATATGAGTAAACTGGAATCACTAGAAACTGTAAAATACTATAATCAGTGAGTAACAGTTTGGCAGTTCCTCAAGATGATAAATATAGAATTGTAAGGCATATGCTCAACAGATTTAAAAACAATGTTCATAGCTGGGCAGTGGTGGTGCATGCTTTTAATTCCAGCAGAGGCAGATGAATCCCTGTGAGTTTGAGACCAGCCTGGAGAGCTAGTTCCAGGACAGCCTCCAAAACCACAGAGAAACCCTGTCTTGAAAACAAAACAACAACAACAAAAACCCCAATCAATCAAACAAACAAAAAACCAAAAAAGCCAATGTTCATATATTCAAAATTGTTGAAAAATCAGTGTTCAAACAAAACCGTGGACACAAATATTTTTATAGGCACCGTTGAACAGAATTTCCAAGTGTAAAAATCTAAATGCCTATCAATTGATGAATTGGATAAATATATAGTTTATCTGTACAACTGAATTATTCTCTAATAAGGAATGAATATTAACATTAATAATATTAATATCTATATTATTCTATTATATTTATTGATTATATTAATAATGATTGATATTAATAATATTGTGGCTGCATTGATATTGCACTGATACATGTTCCAAACTGAGTAATCTGTAGACATGAACTACATCACTGATTGCCTTGGACCAGAGTAGCCCATGAACTTCAGAGAATGCCATACATCCAAGATCAGTACACTACCAAACTTGGTATCTGGTGAAGGCTGATTCCACTTGGGTCTCTATAAAGCATGAATCACATTCTCATTCATGAGTGTCCACCTCCATAACCCCATCACTTCTCAAAGGCCATACCTCCTAAAACCTACACCTGGATTAGGCTCCAACAACTACAAATTGGGGGTGGACATAAACACTGGACAGCAATAAATCCAGTGGGAGGCAGAGGCAGGCTGATCTGTGTGGGTTCAAGGTTGGCCTGGTCTACACACTGATTCCATGCCAGCCAGGACCCTGGAGCAAGGAAGAGACAGAGACAGAGACAGAGAGAGAGTCAGAAACTGCGGTCCACTTGGTTCTCAGTAGGCAGCAGATCTAATCACCAGACCTGAAGATTACCAAAATGCTTTTCTTCACCAGGATACTTTTCTCCAGACTGGAATAATATGAAACCATTTAAGTTTATAGGTTGCTAAGACACCATAATTACAATTTAGTATGTTACCTCCTCTGGGAGAAGGAGAGTCATGGCCTCCAATGACTACAGAGATGCCAGAATCTTCCAGTTTCACCTTCCATTTTTCAATGATGGTTCTAGACTTGTCCTGTAAATGTGACACTGCAGGTCAGGCAACAGCTCTTAAATGTGGTTTGTAAAGCATTAAGTAAGTCACCCAAGAGCTGGCCCATAAATACCTTGCTGGCATCATTAAAGACAGAGAGCTCCATGGTACCTTCAAAGTCTTGCTGCAAAACAGATGCCAAGCACTCGTCCAACCACTGTTCAGCATTGTGCACCGGGAGGATAATGGACTAGAATTCAGAGAAATGAGTTAACAAACATCCCTGGGGAACTGCATCCCCTTCAGCATCCTAAAAGATGAGGATCGCCAAGAACCAGGCCTCATGCTAGGGCATGCCCAACAAACCAAAAGTATCTATTTCTCCTTTCTAAGCTCTTAACATTTGTCTGGTCCATAAGAACTTAATAGGTGTTAGGTTCCCCTCAAGTTCTTGATTTAAAATTATTTCATTTATTTATCTATTATCGTATTGTATGTATGACACTGGAGAACAAATTCAGATTGTCAAGCTTGGTGGAAAGTGCTTTTATCCACTAATCTATCTATCCACATTCCCTTCTAGATGCTTCTGAAGGGAAGAGCTGAAAAGCATCAAAATGCCCCTCCAGCTCCATGGTAAATTCATGATTTTAATCACTAGGCAAAAACATAATCATTCTACTTAAATATTTGTCTCTTCCTGAAGACCAGTCCTTGACTAGATGGCAAACTCACCCTTAGGAAAACTCTAACAGAGTGACCCCTTCATATTACTGCACAGCTAATCACACAGCCAAGCTGGACCAAGGGGTATGTAGAGGCCCGTAATCTTTGTTCTAAACTTGAATGCAAGCACCAGCGCTTTCTCTCTGTGAGTCTCATAAAGTCAAAAGTTTCTAAAGTGGTATGAAATAAAATCACTAAAACTTGATGACCAAAAGAACAATTGTCATGGGAACTGCCTCAATTTTACATAACACAGTAAAGAACAGTCACAGAAATTGTCAGTGTCACCCTTGAGTTAATGTGCAAAAACAAAAGTGGACAAGTTTCTGAGAAGGAAAACCAATAGGTTAGGTAAATGTTAACATATACATACATATATGAACATGTTGCACAGCTATATGTGACTCAGACAGTAACTGCATAGTCTCCACAGACAAGGTCTACATACAATATAGGCAATAGCTATATAGCTCACTCTAGGTAACTTCTATACATAATATTCATTTTTAAATTACTGAATGTGAGCATAGTTATAAAAAGCTTATAAATGAGTATTGAAGACAAAAATCTACCAAGTTCTTTACAAATGAAATGCTCTTGAGGAGCTGGTGATCCAAAAGAGGCATTTCATCATGTTTGTGTTCTGAACCCAGGGCCTTGCATGTGTAAGTCCTCTGAACTTACTTTGTAAAGGAAAAGAACATTTTTGATTTTCTCAAGACCTACAGGATTTAAAGTGAAAAGGGTGTGGTGACTCATTTGTTATCAGTAAGTGGGATGTGGTGGCTGGAGGGTTATCTCGAGGTCATTCTCAGCTACTTATATGTTGCAGGCCAGCCAGAGCTACAGGAAACCTTGCAACAATCTTTGACAAGGTTAGTTAGGCCTTGATTTACCTGTTCCCAATTTCAGTAAGATTGGCATGAAAAATGCAATCCACTTGGGCCTGTGAACCAAACCTACAATGTGTCCTGGCCCCTGACATCTAACCCACCAGTTGGGTATGTTGGACAGGTGTGGTATGCTGGCGAGGTGAGTGGGGTTAAGGGAGTTGGGGGTGGAGACAACAGTGTGCTGGGCAAGTAGGTGTGTAGGAGCTCCGGCAGGAACGCCATCTGTACACATGCACTGACACAGGAAAAGGGTGGGAGCCCTCCAAGCTGAGGTTCCTGAACCAGTGGCAGCGTTCCGGAAAGACCCTAGCGGCTGCCAGCCCAAAAAGGATAATTACCGATCCGGAGAGAGAAAAGGCTATAGAAGGGACGTGGGGGCGGAGCCGTATCTACCCAACCATACCTACCACTAAGGCCAGCGGGCCGTGCCCGGTGGCGTCCTTGGGTAGCTGCATGGCAGGGATCCACTGCCCTTCTTCTGCACGCGTCCTGCATAGGCAGCCAAGATTGCACAGCAAGCTCCGGAAGGCGGTGCAGAGACTGGACCACTTCCGATTGGCGCAGCGCCACGTGGGTCGCTAGGCACTGGCCGTGCAGAGGCAGAAAATGGCCACGTCCTATTGGTGCAGAGACACGTCAGTCATTGAGGGCGGTGCTTCGCGCAGATTGCAGAACAAGTTGGCCTGTTGGTAATCTAAAGACTCGTGAGCCGGTGGGGCAAGCTACCCGCCTCAGCTGGAGCAGCTAGGGCGGGACCCTGGGCCGGGAGGTGGCCGTAGCCCGCACCGAGTGTGGGCGAGGCCTGACCGAGAAAGGGTTGGCTCCCCGAGTCCGTGGGCGCTCCTGGCTTTCCGCCCTTCTCGCAAATACCCGCCCATCTTTGCGGCTTCTTAGCCTGAGGAAGTCGTCTTGCCCCACCTGACGGAAATAATCGCAAACCAAAGTCCACAGTCAAACAAATGTTATAAAAATACTTTAGAAACGGGGGAACTTGTGAGGGGAGCCACCCTGTGTGGGTAGGTGACGACTTAAAAATCCAAACGCGACCACCCAAGGTTGGGCCTATATAACTTTAAAATGAAAATGGCAATAAGTTTAAAACAAATAGGCGACATTTCATCTGAACTGTGTTTGGTCTGACTGAGCTGAACGAGGAACAAGGACCCCGACTGGTGGGAGGATTGCAGGCCAGGCTGGACTGAGCTGGGTTTGGAGTGAACCAGCAGTAGATAGTTTGTATGGACCGGAGCAGTCTAGTGTGTGGCCTGCATTCGGAGGCGTGAAGCCAATCAAAGCCAGATGGCAGAGTTTCTATGCTACATAGAGAGTCACTGGCCCAAGAGCTCCTGGAGGTTGATGAAGGAAGTGTTCTGTGAACTGTGGGAGTCCCAAAGTGCGAAAGAACCACAGTGCCAAAAGTTTTCAGGAAATACTCTCAAAGGACAGGTGACAACCTCAGGATTGCATGAAAGATACCAATAGGCCTGATTACTAATTTAAATAACCCATGTGCATTTCCTTTCCAGAGTCTTTTTCTGGCTTGTGCTTGTGCCTGCAATTTCTCGTCTGAATGATCATCCCACAACTAGAAGTGTATTTTAAGATGGCATATTTTGCTCATCCACACCCTCCATTTCTGAGGGGTGACACTGAGGTCACCCACAGGCCTTGGCACCAAGCAACCTTCAAGAGTTTCCACACTTAAAAACAGCAGAAGAAGGAAGGGATGGGAGAGATGGCTCAGTAGACACAGGCACTTGATGCCAAGCCTTAAATCCCAACTTTGAGCCCTGGAACCCACATGGTGTTGAGAGAACCTACCCCCATAAGTTATTTTCTGACCTGCAATCATATAGGCAGTGGCTCATACCCACTCACACCCCCAACACACATGCAAAACAACTATTAAAAATAACAATCTCAGCAAAGCTTTAGAGGACTGCGTGCTTATTTAAAACTTGGTTTTAGATTTATTATGTTATGTATTTGAGTGTCTTGACTGCATGTATGTGTGTACCACATGCCTACCCAGTGCCCATGAAGGTCAGAAAAGGGTGTCAGATCCCCTGAGGATGAAATTGGTGCTAGGACTCAAAACCATATCTCTGCAAGATCAACAAATGCTCTTAATTGTTGAGCTAGCTCTCCAGTTAAGGACTGTAGTGCTGATGCTTTGAAATACTTCCCTCAATAGAAAACAATGGCCTGCTTTTCTTTCAAGGAAAGAATCTAAAGGATCCCCAGTAGTTCAGCAAAGGAACCCTCAGCAGTCTGTCAGCTTGATCTTAGGAGATACAGTGGAACCCAACCTGTTTTACAGCCTATCCCAGACATCGCCAAACCTTTTCCTGCCTGTATAAACAGGGTGTTCACATTCTTCCATTAAGCTGGGATGGGGCTATGAAGAGCTTCTGCAGGTCAGTGTAAGAGCTCCCTAACTTATCCCACATAGAGAAGGCCAGCAGGCAAGGAACTGTGAGAGCTCTGTAAACTGAGTGTGCCTTGGCTAGTGCTATGCTACCCCTCTAACCTAGACTAACTCAGGTTACTACTCTTAAGTGCTCTTGTCTATGAGCACCTCTTTCACAGAAAAAAAAAAGTTTTCTTTAAAAATTCAGATCAAAAGCAAAATATTCTGTAACTTCTTACAAAGCAAAGCACTATGTTGCATGTGATTTTTTTTAACTGAAATTGCATCTTATCTGAAAAGCCAACAAAAAGTATAAAGCATTAGATGGGATGAGTAGAAATCTGACCAAAGCAATTGGTTTTCAAAGGCCTAATGGTCTCTCAGAATTAACATGTGGGGAATAGTTTCACTTTAAATGACTTAGTAGTATGTAGCATTCCGGCCCCCAGAAGGGTCTAGAGATAAGGGGTCAAAGATAAGGAGACACAGGTAATTTCTGAGCCTTTGCAGCACATAGCATTTGAAGTAGGCTGGAGCTTTTCATCCCTCAGTGAAGGGGCTCTAACTGACCTGAGCATGGCAAACATGGCCTTGCCCTTTGATCACTACCTCTTCCTTGCTAAAATCCATTAGAAGGTTACATTCTGAAGCCAGCCACCAGGGTCTACTCCCTGATTTGGCTACTTCCTCCTCCTGAGTCTAACTACCAAAATCCTGATATCAAAGTAATGAAGTCCAGCAATCAAAACATCACTTTTGGCTGCCCTAATTAACATGCCCAGTTCAAATGAAACAGACACCTCATCCTAACACAGGGTTTCCCCTTTTACCTTTATAAACTACTATTAGTCTTTGGGTCACGTCACATCTGTCTCTATCCAGAGGCAGTCCTTTGTCCAAGGACAAACATCCCTTCCCCCACTCCTGTGTTGCATTCTCCTTGTCCCTCATCCTCTATCTCCTGTCTTTGTATCTTATTCTCTGCACTTTGTCCCTCTGGGACAAATCTCCTTGGTCTTGGGGTATAATACTAGTCCCTTCACTCATCTCCTCTAATCTTTTTTAGTAAGAAAGTTGATTTTTGCTGTATCCTCCAACATAATATGAGTAGATGTTCTCACAAATGGACTTTGCGGGCACCTCCCCCATGGAGGGATACTCCCTTAACCTAGAGACAGGAGGGAAGTCCTAGTCCCTACTCCAAAAGACTTGACAGATTTAGATGACCCCACATGTGGAGTGGGGGGGGGGAGTGGTCAGGGTGCATGTGAGGGTGGGAGAGAGGAAAAGAGAGAGGGAGGAAGGGAGAGGGAACTGGGATTGATATGTAAAATAAAAATAAAATAATAAAATAAAAAAAACTTACTGTTATTTTTAAAATATGTATGGGTGTTCCACACATATGTGTGTACTGTGTGTTTGTGGTACCTTGGAGGCCAGAAGAGGGCACTAGATCCCCTAGAACTGGAGCTACAGATGGTTTTGAACTGACATGTGGTTGCTGGGAATCAAACTCAGATCCTCCCAGGAACAACCAGTGGTCTTCATGACTGACAGCCCTGGTGCTGTGTAACAGTTTCCTCTGATATTGAAACATTCCATGCTTCATGGAAATTCCTTAAGTAGGGAGCTAAACAACTCAAAATAGTTTCAGGAAGTTCCTGAAACTGACCAGATTCACTAGCTTCCCCCGCCAGACTAAACAAAAGCTGAAAAAAATCCCTCTCAGACTAAAAGAATCTGGGCTGCAAAGAAGACTCTCAGAGAAGAAAAGCTGCAAAGAAGGATCAGATCAAAACAGCTGCCTCAAAGAAGCAGAAACTAGCCAAGCTGCTTGGAACAGGTTTAGACCAATTGAGGCACCTGGAAAGGACACCCTCCAACCTGTTGAGCTGCCTGCAGGCTGTGCAGTGTGCTCAAGGCTCTCAGCTTTTGTGAGCTGCCACCTTGCTGGGGTTGCCCTTGATGATGCAACTGTCTACTCCTGAAAGCAACCCCAATAAAACTCATTGGTTCAACAAATTGGACTTGGGTGGTGGCTATACTTTGGTCTGTCATGGGTTCACTATCTAGGATGTGTGTTCCATCTCTTCAGGAAAAGCTTTGTCACGAAACACCTGGAAGTTGCTTTTTTTCAGAGTGCTAAACTATTGCAGAAGTTCATGGTAGTAGCAGGGGCTTTTCTGAAATCCAAGGGTAGTGGAGCCTAAGTTTGATCCCCTTGTGGTAGGGAGTCCTACCAAGACACCAAAGGGCCAGGCTATGGATATAAGAAGCAAATAAGATATGCAGAAGAGATAAAAAGGTAAAAAACCCTGAGACAAAAGGTAGATAAAGATGCAGGTGGTGGCGGTGCATGCCTTTAATCCCAGCACTTGGGAGGCAGAGGCAGGTGGATCTCTGTGAGTTCAAGACCAGCCTGGTCTACAAGAGCTAGTTCCAGGAGAGGCTCCAAAGCTATACAGAGAAATCCTGTCTTGAAAAACCAAGTAAATAAATAAAAGGTAGATAAAGAGAAACAGGTCAATTTAAGTTAAAAGAACTAGCCAGAAATGAGCCTAAACTAGACTTAATATTCATAACTATTAAGAAGTTTCCTTGTCGTGATTTGGGAGCTGAGTGGCAGCCCAAAAGAAAAAAAGTTGATACAAGATGATAGTTTCTAAATTTTATGACTGCATGATGCTGGTACTAAAGTCAAAGACTCACTGCAGATCTACACAGATAGGACAAGCTTTGTCGGGCATTGCTGGGCCCTCAGTGACACCACCAGCAAAGACCAAGATGAAAGCTTTAAAGCTGGGTAGACTCTCAGCACAGAAAAACCTCAAGAACTCCAGTGTTCTTTACAAGTTTCCAAATGGGACAGACCTCAGTTTACCTCAATTGAACCACTCCTGTTGTAGATCAGGATGCCTGGGCCAGAGGAAACTGCATATTGTGACTCAGGGAGGGCCAGAGGAAGACACAAGCTGTTCAGTGGGTCATCATCACCCTCAACGGGGGTCAAGGACTTATCCTGGCTAAGCCCAAGGAGAGACTTAGTTCCTGGTACCAAGGCTTTGGTGGAGGCTAGAAGTAAAGGATGAG